CCAGGCTGGTCTTGAACTCCTGGGCACAAACGATCCTCCTGCCTCAACCTCTGAAAGCACTGGGGTTATAGGCATGAGCCTCCATGCTAAGCTGAAGGCTTTTCATCAGCCATAAAAACACTAGTTGGCCGGGCACCGTGGCTCATGCCTGTAATCCCAGCACTTCGGGAGACCGAGGTGGGTGGATCACTTGGGGTCAGCAGTTCGAGACTAGCCTGACCAATATGGTGAAACCCCGTCTCTTCTAAAAATACAAAAATTATCCCGGCATGGTGGCAGGCGTCTGTAGTCCCAGCTACTCAAGAGGCTGAGGTGGGAGAATCGCTCAAATCCGGGAGGCAGAAGTTGCAGTGAGCCACGATTGTGCCACTGCACTCCAGCCTGGGTGATAGAGAGAAACTCTGTCACACACACAAAAAAAAAAAAAAAAAGAAAAAAAGAAAAAAAAGAAAACCCTAGTTACAGAGTTATTTCAGCTGCATTTCAATTTGTAATTTAATTTAGTAGGTCATAATGGGAACTATTAAAAGCAACCTAATCCAAGTTCTTTGAATTCTTTTAAGTTGGCATTAGGTTCTGAGCAAATTAAGCAAGCTGCTTGGAAGACACGCTATCTTGATTCAGACACTAACCTGTGTTTTGCAAACTTTAACATTATAATACATGCTGAGTGTGCCTTCTAAGTTAATAAAAATAAGGTAATAAATGGAACACTAGACTTAGTGTTAAAAAAATTAATTTCTAACTGCATGACCTTGACTTAACCCTTACTTTTAAAGTCTATGAAATATTTGGTTATGGGAATGTGGTTATAGACTATGGATATACTATAACAGATACATACTATTTCCTTCAATGGTACTTACGCCAGTGAACTCTACAAGGAAAGTCCTATATACATTATATACATTTAAGACATTATTACTTCAGCTGTTGGAAATCTCAGAATGAGACTTAAGGACTTAGCAGAGTACTTCCATGAAGCTGAAGGACGAAAGAGAACTGGTTAGTGTTATTTCACATAGCTGCCAATGTGAGGATGCACCACTAAGAGGCCTTCACTATTATAAGGTTATTTGTGAATATCCTTATATCCCCAACTTAGCACTTTTACTGCTTCTAAGGTGTCATACGTTCATGGGATCTTGCAACCTCACAGGTAATAAAATTCCGAAAGAAGAGAAAAACATGATGTTCATTCATTCAGTCCTCTAATATGAATTTATTTATAGCCACTTTGACTTCTGACACTATTTAGTCCTAATCACATATTATATGTGAGATAATTTAGCATAATAAAATTGTGTCTTTTACATCCATGCTAATTGAGTGCCTTAGGCAGAACAAGTACAAAATTAATTGCTATAATAAATCCTTGTGACTTCATTTAGTGGAGAAATGATTATGTGTAAGTTCAACCAAAGTACTGAAAGAAAACATAACATTTTAAAAAGAGGTTTCTGAGGCTTAAAATGAGTGGACATTTTGCTGAAATATTTTACTTGAAATAATACTAATTAATTACTGAAAAAAATGTATTTGTATAAAAGCTTTCCCTAATGGCATTTTAAGAATAATTATTTGAAAATAAGATTCTAGGCCGGGCGCGGTGGCTCAAGCCTGTAATCTCAGCACTTTGGGAGGCCGAGATGGGCGGATCGGCGAGGTCAGGAGATCGAGACCATCCTGGCTAACACGGTGAAACCCCGTCTCTACTAAAAAAAAATACAAAAAACTAGCCGGGCGAGGTGGCGGGCGCCCGTAGCCCCAGCTATTCGGGAGGCTGAGGCAGGAAAATGGCGTAAACCCGGGAGGCGGAGCTTGCAGTGAGCTGAGATCGGGCCACACTGCACTCCAGCCTGGGCGGCAGAGCGAGACTCCGTTTCAAAAAAAAAAAAAAGAAAATAAGATTCTAGGCCAGATGCAGTGGCTCACGCCTGTAATCCCAGCACTTTGAGAAGCCGAGGAGGGTGGATCATGAGGTCAGGAGTTCGAGACCAGCCTGGCCAACATAGTTAAACTCCGTCTCTACTAAAAATACAAAAAATTAGCCGGACGTGGTGGCAGGCACCTGTAATCCCAGCTACTCGGGAGGCTGAGGCAGGAGAATCACTTGAACCTGAGAGGCGGAGGTTGTAGCGAGCCGAGATCACGCCACTGCACACCAGCCTGGGAGACAGTGCGAGACTCCGTCTCAAAAAACGAAAAACAAAAAACAACAAAAGGAAAATTCTAAAATTTAATTGTTCCTCTTTGTCACCCTGAGAATGCATTAGATAATTTGGTGCCAAAATCCAAATGACCAAAAATCCCAGAAATGCAGATGAAAGCACTCTATTAATTCTAGACTTTTGGGATTATCATTTTTCAAAGGTATTTCCTGCCCAGTTTTAAATGTCTGGTGCTGAAAATGATAAGCAAACAACTTTGTCAATAGACTGTTTATGTTCCTTACTCTGTGCTCAAAGTGACAAGGTACCTTGATTCTAGCAGTGATTCTCCATCCTGCTTTAGTATTGGGTTTCCACCGTGACTGTTAACTGCTGAAACTGAGCCCAGAGCCCTTGGTCACACGATCCGAGCATTGCAAGGGGCACCAAGAGGTAAGTTAACTCATCCGTCTGCCTCTAGGAAGGGTGAACTGTGCCCAAATATTTCCGGATGGATAATTTTGTATCTTAATCAGAGCAGAAAAACTAAGGAGTGGGAATTTCCTTCAGAAACATTTTTGCATATTTTCTGACTATTTCTATGCTAATGTAATTGCAAGAGCAAATAAATGTCCTGAAGTGTACATTGGCAGTGCCTCCCACACAGTCAAATTAGTACATACCCTGGATTAGTCATCTAGGTTTTACAGATTCGTTAATTTACCTGAGAAAATTCCTTTTATGAGTTAAACAACCCCATAGAATGTAACCATTTTTATTTTATGTTAAATCATCATTTCCATTCCCAGTATTTTTCCATCTCTTCCCTCTTGTCAACTTCCCTCTCCATTCTTTCCTTGCACATTTTTTATGAGGTCTTCTTTCTCCTTTGCCTGTTGTCCGCACTCCACCCTGAGAAATGCTGCCATTAAACTCAAAGTTTAGGTCACTACGTTGGCAGCATTTTTTCCTGACTTCCTATATTCTATTGGATGCTGAATTTTGTAATTAATGCTTCAAAAATGACTCCTGAATCATCTCTCTTTTCAGTTCTGTTGCTACTATCATACTTCAGCCTTTTATTATGTTTTGCTTGGATATAAATTAGCTCCCTCTCTTCTTCTGTCCTTGCTTTGGTTTCTCTCTAGCTCCCAAACATCCTATATGCCGCTGCCAGAGTGGCCTCTGAATAAAGCACAGCTCTCACCTGACCCTACATTCAAACCTTCACTGGTTCCACACTTTCTGCAGGATGGCATCCAAACCCCTTGACATGGCTCTCTCTTTCCCCACTGCCAACACACACCTTATCCCCCAATTCCAACCTACCTTTCTAGCTTTACCACTTTTTTTTTATTATGGATGGCAGTCTTGCTAAACTGTGCAAAATTTCCTCAACACACACTAAATTTCCTATTAATTTCTCTTAATGTAATATTTACCTATTGAAATTCAACTCCTTCAATTCCTAGTCCAGTAACCAACCAATTATAACAACAGCTATATTTAATTGTGCATTCCTAACACGTCAAGACCATACTGAACATCCTATATATATAATCTCTAATCCTCACCGCAATACCTACTAGGAAGTCGTTATTGTCACCATTTCACACATGAGGAAACTGACACTGATAGTACTGAGAGTTGCTGCACTGTCTTCAGTCCAGAAATTCTTCTTGGGTGAAAAGACTCTACTCCAGGAGTGGAGTAGAAACTTGAGTGAGTGTTAAGGACCAGATTTATGCTAAGTAAAGAAATATGAAGAAGAAAGATGAGGTGGAAAAGGAAGAGAATGGGATGAAAGAGGAGAAGAGGAGAAAGAGAAGGAAAGGAGAGATTAAAAAGATAAAAGACCCTTCCAGTGGAGAATATTATTTGGTATACAGTTGACCCTTGAGCAATGCAGGGATTAAGAGTGCTGACCCACTGTGTAGTCAAAAATCAATGTGTAACTTTTAATTCTTATAGAACCTAACTACTAATAGCTTACTATTGATCAGAAGCCCTACTGATAACAATCAATTAACACATATTTTGTATGTTATATGCATTATATACTCTGTTCTTGGAACAAAATAAGCTAGAGAAAGGATAATGCTCTTGAGAAAATAAGGAAAATAAAATATATTTACTGTTCATTAAGGTGAAGTAGATCATCAAGAAGTTCTTCATCCTCATTATCTTCACACTGAGGAGCCACAGGAGGAGGAAGAACAGGAGGGCTTGGTCTTGCTATCTAAGAAGTATGGAGGCAGAAAAAAATCTATGTATAAGTGAACCCATGCGGTTCAAACTCGTGTTGTTCAAGGGTTGACTATAATTGATTTTTGACAAAATTTAATTAAAGTCATGAGAGTGACATCTTAGTATCCTCATACACAGTGTGTAACGTCCTCATACACAATGTGCAAACTGCTCTGTGCTCATGGATAAGAGAGCTCAAGAGATATGTCTTGTTTAGGAATTAAGATGGAAACCATTCAAATAATTTTTTTTTTTCAGATACATGAGTAATATAATGAAAGTAGATTCTTTTACACATTTCTAACACTCTATACCATATGCCTGTATATATTTTCTCAACTTTGTGTTTGTCAATTTGCTTATAGTTTTGTAATACTTTTTGATGTTTTATTATTTTATTTTTATTTTTTTGAAATGGAGTCTCGTTCTGTCACCCAGGCTGGAATGCAATGGCACAATCTCGGCTCACTGCAACCTCTGTCCCCGGGTTCAGACGATTCTCCTGCCTCAGTCTCCCAAGTAGCTGGGATTACAGGCATCCACCATCATGCCTAGCTAATTTTTGTATTTTTGTAAAAACAGGGTTTCATCATGTTGGCCAGGCTGGTCTTGAACTCCTGACCTCAGGTGATCCACCCACCTTGGCCTTCCAAAGTGCTGGGATTACAGACATGAGCCACAGCACCTGATCTTATTATTAACTTCCAACTGAGATAGACTTTTATAATATATTCTGATGTTGAACAAACTACAGTAGACATTTTAAAAATACATTGTTAATTAAAAATTTTTTTTTTTAAATGAAACTCTCCAAATCTGCTCCACGGGAGTGAGGCTGATGCAACTAGAAGCTACAGAAATATTTGGCCTTGGATTTCACTCGTTAAGAGAGAGCTGCCAACTCGTCCTTACCAACAGGGCGGTGAGTTTGCTTCACTTTTCTTTGGCTGTCAGTACAGAAGTCAAGGCTGTCTGCAGTCTTTGTACAACTCAGCATAGTTCTTTCCTTTGAGGACAAGGCTGTCATCTGATTCTTTCCTGGAATCTGGAGGTGATACAATAGATACGGACTAACAAGAAAGCAAGTAATGAAAAGAAATCGAGAAATGCATTTTAATGATCATTTTTAGAGGCGAATTCATAGTTATTGTTAGTTGGCATATAGACCTTTTTGGTTGGTTAAATGATAGATGTGATAAACTCTAATTTTTTTCTAATTCCAGAATGTTTTATATCTTTTGAGATAAACATTATTTCAAACTGGATGATCCTGTAACGTTTGGTTTATATTTTTTGAGGCCTTTTCAATTACCATGAAGAGTATAATTAATTTTGCAAGATTTAATTAGTCACATGAGCAGCATCCTGGTTTTGTCATAGGCAGAGGACAATCAGTGCTCTGTACTCCTGGATAAGAAGAAATAGCTCAAAAGATGTGTCTTTGGGGATAAATTATTCAGGAATTAGAGTGGAATAATGGAGTTGGATGCCTCAGTGTATTTCAGAGGAGTACATCCATTCTGCCTCTGGGGTTCATCTTCTCTCTTTTGCTCTCTGCCTCTGTCTTTTCTTGTTCCATGCTAGCAGAAAGCTCCCAGATTACAAAGCTGGTGTCTTCCTCTTTAGTAACTGTCCCTGCCATTGTTAATAGGAGAGGGGTCAAATGAGTCTTGATTAATAAATCCCCATTGCCTTCTTCCCACCTCTCTCAAGTTCTGTGATCTTGATCCGGTGTTAAATTGGTGTCCCTGTGATCTTAAATGGCTCATTTAATAGGGTGAAATTTAGTTAGTGTAAATGTAAATATTGCATCTTCCCCCCACGTCCCAACACTACTGTGATGTGCACAAGAACAATATAGGAGAGTTATATTAATAGTAATTAAAGTCTTATTTTTCAAACTTCCTTATTTTTTAAAAAATATAAGCAGCTATTATCTTCACAACAAAACTTTAAACATTATTTAAAATTATTTTGAAAATTTATGGTAGATAAAGTACTCAAAACAGATTTCCTGCTTCTAGCTGTTTATGTAATGTTGTAAATGGTGGGCCCTGATCTTTGCCAATGTGTTTCACTTGGTCAACTCTACAAATATTATCAGCAGTACAAATATAACTCTCCAAATAGCATTTAGTGTCTAACCAGGAAAATAGAAATCACCCTTAGCCTTTCAAACAGGAGAAATTAAATATGGAGAATTGATCACTCAGATGATGAAAAACAGAGAAGTGAAACTGGGAACAACCCAGACATACATTAGGAACTCAGAAATTCTATGTGGGTGAAGCAGCCCAGAGGTTATCCTTCAGGGAGCTCTAATTTCTCTTGGAATGGAAGGTTATCAGATGAATGTGTGGTTACCAGAAACCACAAACTGGACTCAGGTGAGAACTAGAACCATGATGGGGGCGGTCCAGTGATTGCTGAGGACAAGAGGTTGCAGGGAGGCGTGCTGCCTAGCAGGAGTGGAAACATGAAGAGGAGACATGGGCACCATCAGAGATTCCTTGGAGATTCCAAAGAGAGAGAGGAAGGAATACCCTAACTTCTCCCTGAAAGGAAACGAAAGCTGTTGGTATAACAAATTCTTGTCTGTGTCCTTTAAAGACCCTTTCTGTATTATGACTGTGTGGGCAGAAATCAGTGAAATGGAGTTATGTTGAATAGAGGCATTCATGGTGCTGTAAGACCAGTGTAAGCAGAAGGAATGGCTCATCATATACGATATTTACCAATGGGGTAGAACAAGGATGTCTTCTTATTAGCCTTCTTTTTACATTATACCTTAATAATTTAATGTAAATCATGACAGACTGATTTGTGCCATCTTATCTGAAACTTTGTAACATAGGGAATGGAAAGTTAATAATAATAGCTGGTATTTTTTCATAAATTTTATGTGTAAAACTCTTTTCTAATAGCTTTCCATGTATTAATGATTTTAATTCTCAAAACAACCTCATGCTTTTCTATCTGCCCATTCTATGGAAGAGGAAGTTGAGGCACAGAGAGTTTAGCTAATAGGCATACAGATGACATAGTTGTATCTGGGGGTACTAGAAGTAGCCTTAGTAACCAGCTCTGCTATGTCGTTTTAGCCACAAAGAAGGTCTTCCTATAACTCTTCTAACATGAAACATTGTTTCTTCTAGGCATAATCTATATGCCAGCACTCTAAACCAAGCCACCATCTTGTTTTCCCTATACCAACGGCCTCTGGACTCATCCCCTCACTCTCATTCTCATCCTCTTCAGCCAATGTTCCTCAGGGCAGCTAGAATAAATTTTTGAAACCACAGCTTTTTCTCAGAGTCCCCTGATGCTTTCCCAGTTTTAGTTAGTAAAGTATATTTTACTTAAAAGTACTGTACAGTGAGTTTTTACTGGACAGGTGTAGCCAGGTATGTTTGGAGTGCTGTTGATATCCTGATGAGTCTGGGCAATCATTTATTTACCAGTCCATCTCCTATTGGAGGGACATTGTCTTTACCTCTCTTATACTTAGGCCTTGGGCAATATCTATAAATGAGTCAGAAAAATCATCCTGAAATTATAGTACACCTTTTGTTTATGAGAAGAGCACTGGCCCTTTGGCAGCAGAGAGCTCCAGGCTTATGTTAGACTCAGTTCACCACTGGAGACCCCCTGAGGGTTTGTAAGTCTGCTGGCAGAGTAACTGCTGTTTTGTAATGTCTGTCAATGGTCCTATTTGTTTTGGCCTTTTGTGGAAAAGTTTGCTGGGCAGCCAGAACAACAAAGGGCAGTACTAGGACTAGAGTTGGAAGAGTCAGCCGGGGTGAATCTCTAAGTGATAGGATATAGGGCAAAGGAAACTGGCCATTGACACAGATGAGCTAAATTTCACAACTTACCTGCTTATATTTGAACAAACAGCAAAAGCTAGAAAGCCTCAACATGCTGGGAGAAAGTTTTGGTGCCTTGGGTGATTTACGTGTTATCCCTGTGGCAATGAATCATGCTAGAATTTCAACCAAACTGCTACTCTTAACTAGCGAGAATATCTTAGATGTTTTGTATGTGTGATTAAGAAATAATGGACAGTGAAAAGCCTGGCACTGTCTCTGGCCCATCTAGCTGCATTCATTCATATTTCTAAGAAATACAAAACAAAGATTAATTGATATAAAAATATTAGGAATATTTATCAACTGCTAAATAAGCATATTAAAATATCTTAGGAAAAAACTTTATATTTTTCTCATAGACTATGTATACCAGTCAAAATTACTAAAATAACCCAAGAAAAAGTGTTTGATTTGTAATTCCTTCATGAAAGTGGCAAAGGTGAGCTATGCATGAGGACCACAATTAAAAGTTTTCGTATTTTAATACAAATGATTTGTCATAATTTTGCCCAAGACTTCATTGAATACAAAGTATATTGAGTCCTATGGGTTCTGTAAAAGAACTTTGGAATCTCTTTTATTGATTCAGATTTTATGCAGCCAAAATAATTACTGAAGACATTTCAGCCTGTCTTTTTTTCAATTCAAAGGTCATTCACACTGACTTCTTGCTTTGGCTTCATGTAAAACACCATTAATTAAATGTGCTATAAAATGTTTACTATCCCTTCAAATAGCTCAGTAATGTCCATGTGTATTAGACTATGTACTTTTTGTCTGAGGCAAGTAAAAATACCTCTTAGGTGAAGAAAAACCTCATGTGTTTTATTGCACCTTGCATTTTAAGACGTTACAATCTAGTACCTCATAAATATTTGTCCTTTTTAAATCATTGCCTGGAAAATAAGTTTGTCTAACTTTTTCCATAAAGTTAAAGTTGCAGAGGTCAAATTTTGTAGATGCTACAAAATCTTTCTTCAATGAATAATCACAAGCTCATGCAACTCAAAAGATCTTTAAGGAATGTCACAGTTGAACCTGAATCCACAGGGGTCCACTGCACACTGACAGTTATTTTATTGTTCAGACCCCCTGAGACAGACTATCTAGAGTCTTGCCATGGTAACCCGTCTAATGTTAAATCATCCTTTTTTTTTTTTTTTTCTATAAAGCTTATATGATGTCTAATTTATGTCACTGAAAATTATGACTCTTTCTATGGTTTTGCTATTACAATACAGAACAGCTGATCAAAAAATGTGCTCTGACAATGATTACAAAATGAAGAGTGAACAGAAGCTAAGGTTTGGTGACATTTTGCTATTTTAGATGTTTCAGTTTTTTTGAATATCGATATTGAGATGTCACATATTTAGTTGAAAAAAATTAAAAGAAGGATAATGGGGAACATTCTTCTGACAAATGACTGAAATTCCTGCCTCAACACTAAGCTTATTTTTATTTTTCAACACAGGGTCTCACCCTGATGCCTAGGCTGGAGTGGTGTGGTGCAATCATAGCTCACCACAGCCTTGAACTCTTGAGTTCAAGCTACCCTTCTGCCTCAGTCTCCCAAGTAGCTGAGACTGCAGCACATGCCACTATGCCTGGCTAACAACCTCATTTTATATCTAGTGTTGATCTGAGAACATCACTCTTTTCTCAGTAGAAGTCCTCTATTTCTTAAATTAGCTAAAATTCTCCATGTTCTTTCCTACGGGTTAAGAGTAGCTCACATTTGAAGCATGAGATGTCTGAAAATAAAATCAAAAGTACTCAACAGTGTGTAAAGCAGCTTCTAGACTAAAGGCTTTCATTGGAACTGTGCTATATATTGTAAGCAGTGACCAAACATGTAAAATGATAACCAGATTATGACAATAAATGTAAATCTCCAACAGATCACTGATGTACTGATGTTTGTATTTAAGGATGGCTAATATTAAACTTTTATATCTTCTGTTTAATGTTCAGTCTGCTTATGTAAGTAGATACTTCTTTTTGCTTAGACTTTTTTTACATGTAAATATGAATTTTGAAATTCTACATGTAA